GGACTGGAAAAATAGAAAAATAAAGTATGAATACCAAATGAAGGGAACTTCAAAGAGGAATTCAAGAAAATTTAAAGGGGAGAATACTCATCGAGTTGTTGTCTTCCTCCACATAATGTAGCGTATCCCCAATTGATGGGTTGAATTGAGAAGTTCGTGTCACCACTAGGGTTGGGGGAAGAGTTGGAGGAGTGGGAGCAGAGCTCTACCCAATAGAAGACACAGGTTCTCCAACCTTGGCCTATAAAGGAATGAAAATTGATCATTAACTTCAAGAGTGGAAAAGTTACAAACTTAGCTAGAAGTAAAATAAAAGTATACCTTTGAAGGTTTAGTTCGTGAAGGGGAAGCATGCAGTACTCGGGCCAGAAGAGAAGAAGCCTCGGCATGACGGATCCGTTCTTCCTTAGTGTCCTATTCCAAGAAGTCAGGCAAAGGATTAATAAAATGGTTAAAGGAGGTAAAACTTCAAATAAGTGACTTAGTGCGCAAAAGAATAGAGGCCATACTTTCAGCTCCTTAAGAATAATGTCAAGAAGATTGATGCGTAAAATAACTAAACACACAAATCAAACCCTCTTTTTATCAATTGTAGTAAAGTATGTAAGTAGGGATCGTTCTAGGCCGGGGATTAGGAATGATTGCTAAATCACTTGGAAACTGACTTGAAAACGTAAAAACAAAATTTAAAACACTAAACTAGACTCAAAGAATGCAAAACTATACTTTAAAACACGAAAACAAACCAAAAGACTCAAAACAGCACCTAGCACTCAAAACTGCCATAAAAACACAATTTGGGCAGTTTTGAACACTAAGGAAGAAATTGAACGAAAATATGTTATAACTTGACTCAATACACTTAGAAACACAAACTAAATTGATTTCTAACTAAAATGACACTTGAAACTACAGGGGGAATTGGTTTTGACAAATTTAAAATAAAATAAGAACTTTGTAAAACAAAACAGGTTTTAAAACGACTTTGGTTTAAAACTTATGGATGGAAGGCTAGCTAGGAGGTTCTTCTTCACACATGTCACACTTGCATACAAAATGATTTCCAATTGCTTTTCGATAAGTTATGAATACTCAACGCCCCAAATTAACCGTGAATTGCACTAATTAACTCTCAGTTTTTCAACAAGTTATTAGATTGGATGATTGCATACGACAACCCAAAACATTCCCTACAAGTGATAGGAGCATATTTATGCGACTTAGTATGTTTGTTTTCGTGCATTTATGTTCTTAGTTCTTAGTTATGTTAGTAGTTTAAGCCATTTTTGTGTGTTTGTAGGTTCTATGGGCCAAGGATGCAAGAAGATGCATTTTGGAGCATTGTGGAGCATTTTTGGGCTAAGATTGGATGGTGCAAACATGGAGACATGAGGATGGACGTTTTGGGCTTTTGTGTGTGCAAATGTGTGTGTGTAATTGCAAGGATAAACACATGCAAAGAAGCCCACATGCAAACTCAAGGCAAGAGAGGGAGAAAACACATGCAAAGAAGCCCACATGCAAAGTGAAGACAAAACTCATGGCAAAGGTGAAGGAATTGTGTGTGTTTTTGTGATTGAAATGATGAAGCATGTGTGTGTAAATGCAAAGGGGATCTAAACATGGACAGCACATGTCATGTGCAAAGGAGAAACAAAGATGACAACACACACATGCAAAGAAGAAAAAACAGCAAGAAAGGCATGTGCAAAAGAGAAACATGGACAACCAACAAATTCGTCAAAACTGCCTGTGCAGATTAGCTGACTTTGAAAGCATGTTACAAACAGCTCAGAATGAATTAGAAAATGAGCCTTATATTCATGGAAAGCTACGGATGTCTACTTTCTGGAGCAATTTACGGATTGTTAATATCATTTTTCTAGAAGAAGTTATGGGCATTGTAACACTGAAAGGTTCAGAAACGTGGACAGCACATACACAAAGAGAAAGGCAAGGCATGGATAGTTTGACATGGGCAGAAAATGGGTGGATTGTTGGCTGAAATAATGAAGAACATGTGTGTACAAATGCAAAGGAAAAACACACACACATGGGCAAAGGAAACACACACACATGGGCATAAAATGGGTTGATTTGTGGTTGAAATGATGGAGGTCATGTGTGTGTAAATGTAAAGGGAAAAACATGGCAGAAAATGTGTGTGTTTTGTGGTTGAAATGATGAAGCATGTGTGTGTAAATGTAAAGAGGAAACATGCCAACACACACCCACACAAGCTCACATGCAAAGGAAATGGAGTGGTCCTCTCCCTAGCCTATAAATACATCCACCCTTCACCATAACAAGGGAAAAAAGAAAACCAAAGAGAACACAATCCACCCATCCACCCTTCACCACAACCCACCTATATCCATCCACCACCATAATTTACCACTCATCCATCAAACCACACCTTGTGCCGCTACAAAGAGAAGAAGAAGGATCTTGGACGTGCTTGCCATTCAAATTGGATTGTTGGAGCGTTTTTAGGTGTTTTCTTTCTTTTGTTTTCAATGTTTAAATTTGTTTATCTTTGCTTTGTAAGTATGAGTGGCTAAACCCCTATTTAGTTAGGGGGAAGTTTGAAGCCATGAACATGCTTGAGATTTAAATTGATTTCTTCCAATTGTGATTTGATAAGTTGTGTTTGCAATTCAATTATCTATTTTATTCATAACTAATTCTTGTATATTTATTAAGGATGCATACTTAGTTTTCATGCATGAATTAGATGCTAGAATATAAATGAGTTTCACCTAATCGTTACAAATTTATATTCATAAGTAGTGAAGGTTGTTTATCACAATCGCGTTAATTGAATTCTTGGCATAAGTTTCATGCAATTCATAGTTACAAGTGTTTCGTCAATGCTTATGATTTTTATAGAACTTAATGATTCTTGCTTGTATCTCTATTATGCAATTCATGTAGGGAACTTGTGGGGAATGCTTTGGGTTGTTGTATGCAATCATCCAATTCAATGAAATTAGGAAAATCTGAGGATTAATTTAAGCGTACCTAATTAATCTGGGGTGTTGAGCATCATAGTTTATTGAAAAGCAATTGGAAATCAATTCATATACAAGTGTGTCATGTGTGAAGAACGGACCTCTAACTAATCCATCCATCATCTTATTTCTTAAATTTGTTTTACAATCTTCCTAGTTTTATAACTTGTTTGTTTGTTTCAAATTCATCAAAACTAAAATCCCCCTTTTACTTTCTTGTTTCAAAGTGTTTAAAATTTGTTTGTTTGTGTTTTAGAGTGTTTTGAGTCAAGTCAAAACCCAAATTTCGTCCAAAGTTGTGCTAGAGTCAGAAACTGCCTAGTTTGTGTTTTTAGGCAGTTTTGAGTGTCTTTAAGTTATTTTGAGTCTTGTGAACCTGTTTTGAGTTCTTTAAGTCTATTCAAACGTTTTTAACTTTGTTTTTATGTTTTTGAGTTAGTTTAGAGGTTTTAGCAAGCCCTCCTAATCCCCGGTTTAGAACGATCCCTACTTACATACTTTACTACAATTGTCAAAAAGAGGGTTTAATTTGTGTGCTTATATATTTCGCATCAACAAGTTCCCTACATGAATTGCATAATAGAGATACAAGCAAGAATCATTAAGTTCTATGAAAAACATAAGCATTGACGAGGCACTCGTTACTATGATTTGCATGAAACTTATGCCAAGAGTTTACTTAACGTGATTGTGACTAGCAACCTTCACTACTTGTGAATATAAGTTTATAACGATTAGGTGAAACTCCCTTATATTCTAGCGTCAAATTCATGCATGAAAATTAAGCGTGCACTCTTAACCAACATACACAAATTAGTTTTATATGAACGGATAAGTAAATTGAATTCACAATTTATGAATCACAACTGGATGTAATCAAATCATATTGCAAGTATGAACATAGTTTCGAATCACCCCCTAACTAAGAGGGGTTTAGTTCCTCATACTCACAAAGCAAAGATACATAAAATTAGACATTAAAATCAAAGGAAAGAAAACACCTAAAATGCTCCAACTTGGTAGCAAGTGCATCCAAGATTCCTCCTTTCCCTTGCTTGCGGCAGATTGGGTTATGGACAGATTTTGGGTAGTTTTTATGATGTAGAATGGATGGGGAATGGTATGGAAGGGTTTAGGGTGAGTGTGGAGGAGTGTTTGAGGGTTGGAGGGTGGTGGAGAACTAGGCAAAGAGGGTGGAAGAAGGTGGAGTGGCTGTTATGTTTTCTAGGCACTAGAATGGTGTTTTTGGGGTGTTTTGCTTCCTAGGGTGTGTATGGACGAATTTTTGTGATAAAATGATGAATATGGGGGATTTTCCTTTGGCCAAGGGGTGTAAACATGTATTTATAGGCCCCAAAAACCTTAGAAAATCAGGTTAGGTTAAGGATGAAATGCATGGCAATTTGTGTGTGTGGTGTGCAATGGTCCAAGGGTGAAAATGAAGTAATGATGCAAAGTGTGAAGGGTAAAATGGAGTGGTGTTGTAGCTAGGGAGCATGAATGATTGTGTACATTGCATAGAGATGGAAAAGGAGGTGAAATGTGTCAACAAATGGGTCAAAGGTGCAACATCATGTGTTGCACATGGCATTGGATTCCAAATGTGAATGATGGAGCATCAATTGGTGCATGTAATGGATGTAAATGTTGTCTAAAATCTAATGAGTGAAGGGAACAAGAGGTATCAAGCAATTGAGTGTAATAATTAAATGAATTGAAGCATGAAATTAGAAATTATGTAGGGGACAAGAGTGATCAAGCATGGCATGGAATCCAAAGGGAATTTTATGTGGTTTGCATGGCAAGGAATGCAAGTTGGGGTGACAGATTTTTTGGGCTGTTTTCTTCATCTTTTGGACCATAATTCTTCATATTCTTGGCCTCTTTAGTTCTCAAATTCGTCCATCCACTTGGCCCATGCATTTGCTATCCATTCCAAGCCCGAAACATGATCCAAAGGCCTCCAAAATGCATCTTCTTGCATACTTTGTACTTAGAGTCTGAAAACACACAAAAATAACTTTAAACACTAAAATAACTAAGGAAATACAACGTAAATGCACAAGAACAAGCTAACTAAGTCGCATAAATATGCTCCTATCAAAGATCCTTGTCCCTTTGGTGCATTTTTACACCCAATGGTTCCTCTCTTGCAACAAGAATGGATCTTTTAGTTGCTTGGGGCCCTAGTTACAAGAAAGAATGAGTTATTAGCTCATGTTCCATGATGGAGTGAAATTGCAGCTAAGGAAAGAAGATTAAAATGGAGATCACTTACTAGAAGACTTCTGCTTCTTTTTGCCAACCTTAGCTTGAGGGGTAGTGGAGACAGTGGGGGCTTTGGGGGTTTGGGCTTTAGTCATTTTCTTGGTTAGAGTTGTCCGCGGAACAGGCAAGGCAAGTTGAGGCTCGGGCTGTTCTTCAAGCTCGGAATTTAAAGTTTCCACCACCGTTGCCCTCGTCTGTCGAGGTGCCTGAGTCTTTACTACAGGCTCAGCCTCATCCTCAGAGTCTCCAAATAACTCAGAGACATCCTCAGTCTCTCCCACCACGTAACTAGACCCAACACCTTGTCTCGCAGCCTCGGCTGTAACCTCTTGGATGATAAGTACGTCTGCAACTTCCTCAATGTTGCCTTGGGCTGCAATCACAAAATAAAGGGTGGTTAGTGATTAAATACAAATAGGAATACCAAAAGAGGTGGGAAGGGAGAGAAAGACAATAAGATCTACCTATTAGAAGAAGCTGGTTCTTCTAGTGTACGATCTTTTTCCAGCTTTCGAGCTTGCTCGGCTTGGGATAAGACTTGATGGAGAGCTGCCTAAAGAAATGGTCGTGGGTTTACAGCAAAGCTCCCCCGTAGTTCTTAGACCACTTAGTCTCCCACCAAGTGCAGAAGAATGAAGCGCATTCAAATTTTAGTGCCATAGGCTTGCGGGCGACCTTGCTCAACACTTCCAGGTTGCGCCGAGCTACTCAAAATGTAACTTCTCGGGAAAAGCAGAGGCAATAAGAAGTGCCACAGTGCATCGAGTCGAAAAACGGGACTAGAATGACTTGTTTGAACCCCAACTGCCTAGCACAGAAGTTGGGGTGATAAACTTCCAGCCCGCGTTCATATCCTGTGCGATCACAACATATTCCCCAAACTAAGTCTTTTTGCTGGATGTAGTGGATAAACTTCTCCTTGCAAAGTTGGCTAGAATCTTCCCCAAAAGTATCTTAGAAAATTTGGTCTAAGAACCATAGATACTTCTTGAGTACTAAAGCTCCCCACTCCAAGTCTGCCAGAGTCTGGCAAACTCTGAAGAAATATAGGTAGGAGAAGGTAGAGTGGTTGGTAGGAGATACCTCAGCCAGGATGCGGGTAGAAGCCACTTCTTCAGGGAACTCCAAGTTTAGCACCTGAAGCTCGAAGAAATACCATTGCAACCATAGTTGGACCATTTAGGTTGGTCTATTGAGGTTAGTCTCAAAGGGCGAACCCTTGGTCATCTCGTACAAAATATGGTAAAGATGGGCAAGAAGAAAGAGTCTCGTGGCCACGTCGTCAAATGAATGCAAGGCTTCCGCCAAAAGAATCCACTTTAACTTCACTCATTTGGATTTATTAGGGAATACATGCTTATTGAGACAGTACAAGAGAAAGTACATGTGCTCTTGGTCTCTATCTGCAGCGGCAGAAGGCGGGCTGAATGTGCTTTTAGCAAACTGAATGAAGCCCGCAAATGAAATCCCATAGCTCTTCAATGTTGAAGGGGTGTACTCCAGCTGAATGATGGAGTCAAAGTTGCCTAAACCTTCAGCAGTCGGGCAAGAGGAGAAAGACCAGTCGTGGGTAACATCCACACATCTTCCCGAAGGCTTTAGCTCTTAGACTTGAGCCATGTCAATGATGGTTGAGGACATATAACCCATTCGAAAGTCGAATATGTTGGTCCTAATGTTCTAGAAAATGAGAGTTATGGTCAAGAGCTTAGGCTTGGCAACCACCGTGACCTTGGAGTGCATAATGAGCTCGTAGATGCCGTTGTTCATCCATTTCTTTTTGAAAATAGGCTCAAGTTATTTACCCATTATGCCCAGGCCTTGTCCTTTATCAAGGGGAAACCTCTTAGATGGGTAGACCATTTGAAGGAGGAAATGCCAACTTTGGAAGAATATGGGTCAAAGGTAAACCTGTTTACTTTGGGCATATTGTTTTCCATAGAAATTGGGGCCCTAGAAGTCCATGCAGGCCCCAGGGAGTGTACTTCTCCCTTTTTAAAGAAAATTGAAGTGTTCAAGCTAGCCCGATGGCGATGAAGGCCATTGAGGAGGCGGCACATGTTGACAATGCTTTCACCAGACTCATATGCATAGCGAGTAGTTTTAGGAGCCATTGGATGATCTTGGAAAGAAGATGGAAGGAAATTGAGGGCATAAAGCAAGAAAGAGACTTCGAAAACAAGAAAGTTCTGGAAAATTGGGGGTTCTGGAAATTCGAAGGATTAGAATTGCTAAGGTATTTGACCAATGGATTTCAGTTAAGATTATATAAAGAACAATTAGTTAACGTTGGAGATCGTGGATTAGTGCAAAGGTTTAGTTCTAAAGCGGCTGTTTAAAATAGTACAAGTCCCAAGCAAAAGCGTGTAGTTCATTTTAATCATCATTCAGGCCTTGGTTTGTAGACTTAACAATGATTAAAAGGGGCATTATTTGGGTTAATATTTGAATATTGGGCTTAAATGATAGAAGGCCCAAAGGCGCTAAGACAAGCTCGGGCAAAGAGGCTATTGCAGATATAGATGTGAGAGGAGGATGCAATGCTCCAACTCTTTCAAAAACTACAGCAGTGGAGGCAGTCTCGGTAGCAATGGGAGGAGGAGACCTAGGAGTGGACGGACCAACAGCAGTCTTGATTTTCTTCTTTGGCCGAGGGATAGGGATCCTCGTACCCTCAGAAACCAAGGGAGGCCTAGGAAGAGCTACTTTGTGCACTAAAGGCGGAAGGGATTGGCCCCAGCCTTCGCCAGAACCCTGTTGCAAATCAAGGGAAATAAATTAGGAGAATAGTCTACAATTAAAAAAGAAAGGTTAGATAAGGGAAGTTGGTGTACCTTGGTTGAGCTCGGAGCCTTGGAAGAAGGTGGATGAGTTCTTGTTGCCTTTAATGGTGTAGGATAGTCAACTTTACTTCCTAAAGTGGGCCGAGGAGATTAGCCCAACCCCTCACCAGAAAACTGTTGAAAAAAAAGAATGGAGTATTAAGTGAATTAAGTCAAGAATTCAAGCCATAATGAATGAATAAAATATAAGTAAAAATACTTGTATACCTATGCAGGACTTTGAAGAGAATGAGGAAACACCTCTGTGGTGGCAATGGCCTTCGAAGAAGCCAGTGGGTTGACCCGAGAAGCAGCATGGGAAGCTCTCAAGCTAGTCACTTCTTAGACCATAAGGATCTCAATGACTATTGGCTCCCCAAAAGTAGTTAGTGGTGGTTGATAGGCTTCATACACTGGAGAGGACTGGAAAAATAGCAAAATAAAGTATGAATACCAAATGAAGGGAACTTCAAAGAGGAATTCAAGAAAATTTAAAGGGGAGAATACTCACCGAGTTGCTATCTTCCTCCACATAATGTAGCATTTCCCCAATTGATGGGTTGAATTGAGAAGTTCATGTCACCACCAGTGTTGGGGGAAGAGTTTGAGGAGTGAGAGTAGAGTTTTGCCCAATTGAAGACGTAGGTTTTCTAACCTTGGCCTATAAAGAAATGAAAATTGATCATTAACATCAAGATGGGTAAAGTTACAAACTTAGCTAGAAGTAAAATAAAAGTATACCTTAGAAGGTTTAGCCCAAGAAAGGGAAGCATACATTACTCGGACCAAAGGAGAAGAAGTCTCGGGATGAGGGATCCTTTCTTCCCTAGTGTCCTATTCCAAGCAATCAAGCCAAGGATTAATACAATGGTTAAAGGAGGTAAAATTTCAAACGGTGACTTAGTCCTCATAAGAATAGTGACCATACTTTCAGCTCCTTAAAGACAGTGTTGATGCGAAATATTATTAAGCACACAAATTAAACCCTCTTTTGACAATTGTAGCAAAGTATGTAAGTAGGGATCGTTCTAAACCGGGGATTAGGAGGGTTTGCTAAAACCTTTAAACTGACTCAAAAACAAAAAGAAACAAAGTTAAAAATGTAAACAAAAGATTTTAAAACAGGAAAGTAAAAGGGGGATTTGAGTTTGGTGAAGTTGAAAGTAAAAAAAAATAAACTAAAAACTTAAATAGATTTTAAACAAATTTGGGTTGAATGAATAATGGAAGGCTAGCTAAGGGTTTCATCTCCACACATGTTATACTTGCATACAAAACGATTTCCAATTGCATTTCAATAAACCATGAATACTCAATGCCCCAATTTAACCGTGAATTGCACTAATTAACTCTCAGTTTTTCAACAAGTTATTAGATTGGATGATTGCATACGACAACCCAAAACATTCCCTACAAGTTCCCTACATAAATTGCATAATAGAGATACAAGCAAGAATCATTAAGTTCTATGAAAAACATAAGCATTGACGAGGCACTCGTTACTATGATTTGCATGAAACTTATGCCAAGAATTTACTTAACGTGATTGTGACTAGCAACCTTCACTACTTGTGAATATAAGTTCATAACGATTAGGTGAAACTCCCTTATATTCTAGCGTCAAATTCATGCATGAAAATTAAGCGTACACTCTCAACCAACATACACAAATTAGTTTTTATACGAACGGATAAGTAAATTGAATTCACAATTCAAGAAACGCAATTGGAAGTAATCAAATCATATAGCAAGTATAAACATGGTTTTGAATCCCCCCTAGCCAAGGGGGGTTTAGTTCCTCATTATTACAAAACAAAGATAAACAAATTCAACCATTGAAAAACAAAGGGAAGAAAGCACCTAAACGTTCCAACGATCCATGTTGGATAGCAAGTGCGTCCAAGGACTTTTCTCCTTCTCCTTGCCGCCACAACAAGGTTGGAATGATGTTGAAGGGTTGGTTATTTGGAGGAATGGATGGGAAGGGGTTTAGATATGTAGGAGAGGCAAGGAAAGGCTTGGAGAATGGTTAATTTCTGGATGCCTTAATGAGGTTGCTGCCATAGGTATTTATAGGGAGAGGATGGACTTGTTTAATTCAATTTCCTAGTGTGAAAACAACCAAAACTCACGGCAAGGATGTGTAGAATAATGGTGGGTTAGGTCTTGAATCATTCACTCAATTTTCTAGTGTGAAAACACCAAAAACTCACGGCAAGGATGTGTAGAATAATGGTGGGTTAGGTCTTGAATCATTCACTCAATTTTCTAGTGTGAAAACACCAAAAACTCACGGCAAGGAAGTGATTTTAAGGATGAATCATCTAGTCAATTTCCTAATGGGTTAGGTATTAGAACAATCACTCAAATTTCTGGTGTGAAATCAACTAGGATGCACGGCAAAGATGTGGATTTTAGGTGTGAACATGGTTTTGAGTGGACTTTTGGTCAATCCATCTAGAAACCTATCCCTTCTTGCAACTTGTACTTGTTTCACCAGATTTTTAGCATGTTTATTTGATGTATTGACTTCAAATTCGTCCAAACTCCTTGCTCCAAGCATATGTACTTCATTCCAAGCCCAATTTTGCTCCTAAAAGCTCCAAAATGCTCCTTTTTGCATACTTTGACACTAAAACCTGAAATTGCACGAAAATGACTTTAAACACTAAACTAACTAAGGAAAAACAACATAAATGCATGAGAACAAGCCAATTAAGTCGCATAAAAATGCTCCTATCAAGTGTCAAGAAGATCCTTGTCCCTTTGGTGCATTTTTACACCCAATGGTTCTTCTCTTGTAACAAGAGTGGATCTTTTGGTTGCTTGGGGCCCTAGTTACAAGAAAGAAGGAGTTATTAACTCATGTTCCAAGATGGAGTGAAATTGCAGCAAAGAAAAGAAAATTAAAATAGAGATCACTTACTGGAAGATATTTGCTTCTTTCTGCCCACCTCAGCTGGAGGGGCAATGAAGGTAGTGAGGGCTTTGAGGGTTTGGGCTTTTAGTCATTTTCTTGGTTGGAGTTACTCGTGGAACAGGTAAGGCAAGTTGAGGCTCAAGCTGTTCTTCAAGCTCAGACTTTGAAGTTTCCACCATAGTTGGCCTTGTCCACTGAGGTGCCCGAGTCTCCACTGTAGGCTCAACCTCATCCTCAGAGTCTCCAAATAACTCAGAGACATCCCCAGCCTTTCCCTCCACATGACTAGACCCAACACCTTGTCTCGCAACCTCAGCTGCAGCCTCTTGGATGACAAGTATTTCTGCACCTTTCTCAGTGTTGCCTTGGGCTACAATCACCAAAATAAAGGGTGGTTAGTGATTAAATACAAATAGGAATACCAAAAGAGGTGGGAATGGAGAGAAAGACAATGAGATCTACCTATTAGAAGAAGCTAGTTCTTCTGGTGGACCATCTTTTTCAAACTTTCGAGCTTGCTCGGCTTAAGATAAGACTTGATGGAGAGATGCCCAAAGAGACGGTCATGGGCTTCCAGTAAGTCTCCCCCGTACTTCTTAGACCACTTGGTCTCCCACTTAGTGGAGAAGAATGGAATGCATTCAAAGTTTAACGCCACAGGTTTGCGGGCGACCTTGTTCATCACTTCTAGGCTACGCCGAGCTACTCGAAATGTGACTTCTCAGGGAGAGCGGAACCAGTAAGAAGTACCACAGTCCACCAAGTCGAAGAACGGGACTAGAATGGCTTGTTTGAACCCTAATTGCCTAGCACAAAAGTTGGGGTGATAAACTTCCAGCCCGCGTTCATATCCTGTATGGTCACTGCATACTCCCTAAACCAAGTCTTTTTGCTGGATGTAATGGGTAAACTTCTCCTTGCAAAGTTGGCTAACATCTTCCCCAAAAGCATCCTAGAAAATGTGGTCCAAGAACCATGGATACCTCCTGAGTACTAAAGCTCCCCACTCCAAGTTTTCCGGAGTCCTACAAACTCTAAAGAAATATAGGTAGGAGAAGGTAAAGTGGTTGGTAGGAGATACATCGGCCATGATGCGAGTAGGAGCCACTCCTTTAGGGAACTCTAAGTTTGGCACCCAAAGCTTGAAGAAATACCATTGAAACCACAGTTGGACCATCCAGGTTGGTCTATTGAGGTTAGTCTCAAAGGGCTTACCCTTGGTCATCTTATACAAAAGATGGTAGAGATGGGCAAGAAGGAAGAGTCTCGTGGCCACGTTGTCAAATGAATGCAAGGCCTCCACCAAAAGAATCCACTTTAACTTCACTCATTTGGGGAAGACATGCTTATTGAGACAGTACAAGAGAAAGTACATGTGTTCTTGGTCCCTATTTGCGGTGGCAGAAGGCGGGCTGAATGTGCTTTTGGCAAACGGGATGAAACCCACGAATGAAGTCCCATAACTCTTAAATGTTGAAGGGGTGTACTCCAGCTGAATGATGAAGTCAAAGTTGCCTAAACCTTCAGCAGTCGGGCAAGAGGAGGAAGACCGGTTGTGGGTAACATCCACGCATCTTCCCGAGGGCCTTAGCTCAAAGACTTTAGCCATGTCAAGGATGGTTGAGGATATAGGACCCATTCGAAAGTCTAATATGTTGGTCCCAATGTTCTAGAAAATGAGCGTTGTGGTCAAGAGCTCGGGTTTGGCAATCACAGTAACCTTAGAGTGCATAATGAGCTCGTGGATGCCGTTGTTCATCCATTTCTTTTTTAAAATAGGCTCAAGCTATTTACCCATTATACTCAGGCCTCATCCTTCATCAAGGGGAAGCCTCTTCGATGGGTAGACCATTTGGAGGAGGAAATGCCAGCTCCGGAAGAATATGGGTTAAGGGTGAACTAGTTTGCTCTGGGCATATTGTTTTCCATAGCAATTAGGGCCCTGGAAGTCCATGCAGGCCCCAGGGAATGTACTCATCCCTCTTCGAAGAAAATTAAAGTGTTCAAGCCAGCCCGAGGGTGATGAAGGCCATTAAGGAGGCGACGCATGTTGACAATGCTTTCGCCAGACTTATATGCAAGGTGAGTAGTTTTGCGAGCCATTTGATGATTTTGGAAAGAAGATATAAGGAAATTGAGGGAAGAATTAGTTAACGTTGGAGATCATAAGTTAGTGCAAAGGTTTAGTTAGAAAGTGGCTGTTTAAAATAGTGCAAGTCCCAAGCAAAAGCTTGTAGTTCATTTTAATCATCATTAAGGCCTCAATTTGCAGACTTAACAATGATTAAAGGGGGCACTGTTTGGGTTAATATTTGAATATTGAGCTTAAATGACGGAAGGCCCAAAGGTGCCAAGACAAGATGAACATGCCTGAAGCCCAGCAACCCAGCCTGAAGCAAAAGTGGCACTTCTCCATTAAAGAATAGGCTATGTGCCTATAACTGAAGTGACAACTTATAGAGACTAGCTCACTACCAGCCAAAAAGCACTTTTTAATGGTATAAAGGCTTAAATATATGATGACTCTCTGCCCCTGAGAAACCTCGGCCAAGAACAAAGCTAAGAGCAATCGGGCTAAATCGCCTATAAAAGAAAGACGAGACAACAGAGACAAAGACACTCAACCAATCAAACAAACAACATACAAACTCTACTCTCAAGCCAGATTTGCATCTAGAAAAGCTGAAACCAACCTAGATTCAGTATTTTTAGTCATAGTCCCTATGGAAAAGCTATCTTTTGTCTAGTTTAAAAGCTCTGCTACTTTCCTAATGTTGTAGTATCGATTTCTCGTGTAAAACTTGTTTAACACTCATCCCTTTTTAGCTCACAACCTCTGTAAACACAAAGAGAAGTGGCTGCAAGAAGTTCAACCTTTCCCAACAAGGTGAAATCTTGCCCGAGTCTCTTTGTTTATCCTCTAAATTAGTAGATATGTCGTTTAATGTACTTTTCAGCATGTATTCAAGTTATTTCCATCTATTTTCTACTTAAAAGTCCCATTTACATCCGAATCTAGTTAACATAATAGATTTGTTTTCATTAAGAACACCTTGGAATCAAGGAAATGGTTTAAAAGGGCTCTTGACTTCCTTCATTCGAACATACAAGATTATGAACTAAAAGTCCTTGTTTACAAGGCAAGAAAAAGAACTTAATACAAACCCATATGT